ATAATTAACAAGTTACAGCAATAATTATTTCTTACGAGTGTAATATTTAATTTCAGCAGCTGGGCCCGTTTTGTGCTCATCAACGTCAGTGAGCTATGATGGTATTATTATGTGTGTATAGTTTTAAATATCATTTTTGCAGTGCTTTTTAAATATACTTTTTGCAGTGCTTCCAGGGGTCTTTGAAAGGAATGAATTAATAAATAACATTTTCACATCACTGGAGCTTGCTTTCGGTGCACCATATGTTCCGGAGAGGTGAAAGGAGTGCAGCCACATGCAACGAGTCTGCCAGTCTGGTATGTCCAATTAATTAATCTTAGGGGATAAGAGATGCAAGTGTCCTCAAAAGCTCCGCCGCCTGCCGTGAACACAATCCTAGGTGTGTAGACTCTGAAGGCGTAAAGGCAAGCGGAAATATGTTTATTTGGTTAGTGTATCAAATGTGTTTATTTCCACTTGAATACATAATTATTCATTCTTAGCAAAATGTTCCATGACGAGTTCTCTCTCCGGCAGTCTCGTGTCAGGCGTTCAGTCGTAGTACCTGTGCTCTTTGTTGTCGGATGACGCTCCTGGCACGTCGGTGTTCAGTTTGGTCGAGTGGCAACTTTGACTGATGCCGCCCTGTAATGACACGTCATGTGCTGCCACTGACATCTGATGCACGGAAGCTGCAGGGCTGGCTTCTAATCTGCAAATTTTCCTGGTAGTGTTCTGGGTCAATGCAGCAAGCTCGGGCATGAATTGCTTACGTGGCTGTGCCTTTTTCTGTACCGTTGACTTGATGGCTGGCAACAATGTTAGTTTACTATCCAAGCAATCTTCACTTCCATTTCGTAATGGCGAAATCTTCTGCATCCCGCCGCCACTGCAACTTGTGTAAGTCTCGTGTGGCAAAGTGAAGTCGGGTGATGCTTTGTGTCCACTTTTGAGAGCAACCAACCATTCTATTTCTTCAAGTCACTCAGCGGCATTCTCCCCAAAGTTGGAAGTTGTGTGCTTCGTGGCGTGGTGATGGGGATCAGGAGCTTCGGGGTAATGTCGGCACCAAGGCCAAAGGCTGCCAATCATAATCATCAATGTCCCGCGGTCACTCATCGAGACGTGGTCGAGGGTCGTTCGGCACGAAACCCTCGCAGGCCAGTTCATTGGTACGGTCAGCTCCAATGGACATGGTCGGCCTTATGCAGCGGTAGCAGAGTGGTTTTCGGTCGGCCATTCGCAACACCTTGTTTCCTCGGTGTACTTTTTTTACTGCAGACCTACACCGGATGTCGAGAATGCTTCGGCGTTGGGGCGTTTCATTGAACTGGCATTGAATACTAAGGGGTAGTCGGTGGTGGTAATCGTGCCATTGTGGCGTAAGTCGTCCTCGGTTCGTCAGATGCCGCTTCGCTTGCAGAAGTCTGCGGTTGAAACGCCTGTCGACCTTGTTCCGAAACAATCTCGGCAATCAAAATAAAAGCCGGGCAACTGATGGCAGGAAGTAGCTTCCTGAATTCCTCCCAGACAATCTCGTGGATTATGTCGCGGATGCCTGGGAGGCTGGCGTCGAAGTTGCAGCTGGACGACTCGAGTGTCGAGATGCTGGGGAGGTGTTGATTGTGACAGGCTCGTGCATGCAGCGCACGTATAATGTTGGGAGCGTTGGTGATATGAATTCTTCGACAGTTGTTCTGGGGTTGCGGACAAGGCTGCCGAAAGGCTGCCGAAGGTGTTGTCGCTCACATGAGGGACATGGGATTCTTAGCTTCTTTGTTTTCTGTAGCATCCGAGTCGGCGTGGGCGCTCGATCAGGCGCAAAACATCCTCCACGAACGCGGTGACGCCCTCGTTGGGGCCGTGTCCTGGACAGAACCGGGAATTCGGCACTCGCTCGTCAATGTTGGATGATGAACGTGCACTTCAGCTCGATCTAGCAAACTTCCCACGGCGTTAAGGAGGATTCGTGGTTCTCAAACCAGTGCCTGGCAGGTTTTTCCACGAGAAGTATAGGTTCTGCAGGAGCTGGTTGCCTATCCAACCACTGTGGCGGGCGACACAGTCATGTTGTTCAATCCAGCCCTCGACGTCTTCATACACCTTGCGTGAAATGGCGTCGGAGTGAGGTGCGACGGGCAAGCAAACAATGGTGGGAGCGGAGACGGTTCGCTGCTACAGGTTTCTTATTGTTGGCTTAGTCAGCGTCGTTTTTTTCTGGCAAAAGATAGAATTTCGGTGATTCTTGCTGGTAGCAGCGACTGGCTCTGAATTTAGGTTCTTCGTGGTGTATTTCCAACGTTCGTCCTTGTGGTACTCCCTCGTCTTGCGGCTTTTCTGCCGGGCTCCGGTTAGGGCTTGGTACACGGCTCGCCGGAGGTTTAAGACGTGGGAGAGTCCACCACCCGTGTCCCGTTATCGGGCAAATCGGCTGAGGAGCCGCCAGGGTGCACACATAGTGAAGGGCAATTGGTAAAGTACCCAACACCTCCACCAGAGCATACGATGACAGGTGAGCATGGCCTCGAACTTTCCAGAATAGTCAATATTGACAGAAGATAGGACTGGAGCAAGCATCTGTGACAATATAACAAAACTGACAGAAGAGAGTCTATCATGACCACTAGAGAAGCTGCATTGCTTTAGTGACATTCTGTACGAATAAATCCTCTGCTGTGGCGACTGCCGTGGACGAACTGAACTGAAATGGATGTGAAACCACTTTTCTAGTAATGAGCCGCTGCAGACTGTCGTCGCAAATCGGCGTGAACGGGTGGGCTGGGTAGGTAACACGCGCGATGAAATGTCCATACAGCTTGCAATTCGCGTACCGAGTGTTGATAAAACTTGCGTCGGACGAAACGTGCGACAGACAAGCGGAGTCAACACCAACTGCAACACCTGTGCTCCGTGAAACTGCACGTCTACGCCTGAACAATTTAGGAAGCAGCACAGCACCACCTAAAGCCCGGCACAGGAACTACCAGCTTGAAGGCCGTTCTCCGGTGCGCCGCACAACCAAAGTGAGCCTTCGGTCATTTGAACGGAGCGGCACCACGATTGCACACTGCCAAGCACGACTCACGCAATTGCAATTTTCGTTGCTAAACTGTGTATTCAAATATATTGCGCACGCTTCACTGCAGACCTAAAAAATTCCGATGGTGAACGAGAGCGCAGAAACGCCGCCTTAAAATTTATCCTAGCGGTATTCGAATCAATCCGAGGTCCGAGCAACGTAGGGCCGATTGTCTTTTTCGTGGCAATATCCCTGTCGGTCACCAGGGGTGCTATGTTGCGCTTTTTGGACTCCCAGGAGACTAGGGAGAGGGAAGTGACGTCAACGACACAGCAAACACAGATTGGGTGTTGATTTCGTTTTCTTCTGTCAACATCCAATCTGCGTTTGCTGTGTCGTTGACGTCACTTCCCTCTCCCTAGTCTCCTGGGAGTCCAAAAAGCGCAACATAGCACCCCAGCGACATGCACACCATTCCTCCTTATTTTCAGTTTGTACCTACGTGAGACACCACGCTGAACTAAGTCACTTTCGACCGGCCTCATATGACGGCTTCCGCGTCTGAAATCAACTCGCTGAGACGAACGACAATGAACAAAGCATCCGACAAGCTCCGGCCAAGCTGGGACCAGCCGCTGCCTAGGCGCTGCCATCTTTCCTGTGACGTCACGTGTTTGGTTTGGTCACGTGACGAGTGGTCAATTTTGCGTACAACTGCAGCGACCTTCCGCGGGTCACTTTCAAGTACGCTCCAGAACCCCGGTTTATCGGTCTGAGCCCCTCTACCTCGTTGGTCCGCACCGAGGCTATTGTATTTTCAAGGATAATTTTATTCCTCCTTGTAAAGTCTTATACAGGCGGCGACATGTTTTGGTGGCGCCCTCATATGGAGTCCTCTCCTGACTTCATTACGTTAAGAGCAACAAGTTCGATGGTGTTTGTATCTAGCATGACGGAAGCTTGAAATTATTGTGCTCTGAAACCAACACTGCCAGCACAGTCAGCATTGAAGTTCTTAGATTACTCTTATTTCCGTCGATAAGAAATCCTTTGCTGAAGTCATAGCATTTGGCCAATCGTAGCAGGCCGACCCTTGCGACGCTTTCGATCGCTCACGTCATCAATAGAGATCTCTCCCTGTTACTTTCTCTTCCACTGAAATTTTCTTTTTCCTCCTTCTGTCGCCGCTTTGGGTTAATATCACCAGAGCTTAAAAGAAAAAGAAATAAAGAAAGCAAAAAAAAAAATGCTCACATTTTTAATTTTTTTTAAGGAAGTTTATACTAATCACGTCGCTGAAAGTATTCGCGATGAGAAGCTCGCTAGTGGCTCTTCTGTTTTCCTCACGATGGCTAGTTCACGTGCTACCCACGAGCTTATGTTTTATTTTCATAGTGCATAGAAGCAGAGGAAGTTGAAGTATTTTCGCTCTGGGTGGCTGAAGAAATTCCACCAGGTGGCGATTCCCAAACTTCTCTCCCTTCCCGCCCAGTATAAAAGGCTCTGTTCCCGCCTAGAGCGCATTCGCACAGTCCTCAACAACAACAAGAAAACGACGTCCATCCTTCGCATCCTTGGAGGGGTACGAAGAGGCACCTCACAACGCATGATGCTTCAACTTTACCATGGACTGATCAAAGCACGAACGCTCTACGCACTCCCACTCCTGGGCCTCAATCACAGGCAGTGGGCAAGCTTGGAAAGGGCACAAAGAGTGGCACTGCGCATATGTCTAGGCGTCCCACGGACGGCATCATCGCGTCACACTCTAGTAGAATCGGGAACAAACACAGTGCAAAATGCAGCGACAGAGCGGGCTCTACGACATCTCATACGAAAGCAAGAAACTCCCAGCACAGTATCACTCGTGAAAAACATAGCGACTCGCCGTGCACATCTTGCGACACTCGTCAATCTCCTTGAAGAAATTGCTGGGTGCCCAACCACCCACATTACACTTCCACCGCCGCCCAGTGAGCCTCCCGCAGTGAGGATCGAAATGAATATCGCGCAGATGGGTCCGAAAAGAGTAACACCAGCGACAGTAGCGTATCAACACACATCACAGCACATCGAAGAATTCTACTACGGATGGACACGGACATTCACAGATGGGTCAGTGAAAGCACAGCGAAGAACAGCTACGGCTGCGGCGATCTCGGAAGGACACAGCAGAATGGAGAAGCTGAGCTTTCATGCGTCATCCACAACAGCCGAGCTGGCAGCCCTCCGCCTGGGACTGGCAATGACGGATGGGAAACAACCGGGGAACCTGGTTTTGCTCACGGACTCTAGGGCGGCGCTAAGACTCCTGGAGAAACCCGACAGGGCACCTGCACTCGCACGGGAGGTAATGGCCAAGGCTCAGAATCTCCAAAAGGGAGGATGGACGATCGCCTTTCAGTGGCTTCCATCTCACTGCGGGATTGAGGGCAATGAAGCAGTTGACGCCCTCGCGGACCGGGCCCACGACGAGCCAAACTGCCCCATTTCTCAGGTCCCCGCTTTCGCAGACGCTCGCCTATTGACGCGGCAAATTATCTCTGCACGCAATCCGGAGCTCGAGAATGGACCCCTACCCGCTAAAGTTCCCGGACGCCTGACGAGAAACGAGACAGCCGTCCTTCACAGGTTACGCACCAAAAGCGCCTTCACTCCCGCCTACCTGGCAAAATGGAAGGACCACCGAGATGACGCATGCGGTAAATGTAGGGTGACCGCCGACGACGAGCATCTTCTATGTGTGTGCCCCCTGTACAAACAAGAGCGGGACGAACTAAGACAAACCTACTCCACCCTCGGATGCCCTAGTGACACCTTGGAAGCGCTGATTAGGCCCACAGCAACAGCTGCCAAGGCGGAAAGAATGCTAACAGCGCTAGCCAAATTCTTGAGCCGCACGCGGCTATGCGACATAATATAGCGACACTACTGACGTTCCAGGATGGTCTAACCGCCTAGCAAGATGGACATAGAACCTCACTCCCGAGTGCTAGTCGCCATACGCAGGGACAGTCCGGCTTTTCCTCCGCCTAGGCGAACAATTGCACTGCAGCCCATGATACGCCTGATCCATACACGACAACGATGACGACACTATGACTGTCACACTCTCTCTTTCATTTTCTTCATTTCTTCTCTTCTCTTATCCTTTTCTCCCCCTCCCCCTCCCCCCTCAACGGTGACCTACGGACCTGCATGGTCGCGCAACCCATCGTTGTTTTCTACAAAATAAGTAAAGTAAAGCTAAACAACAAACAACATAGAGCGCATTCATACACAGACCAAATGCTTTACTAGGGGGAATACATTCCACTCTGCTCATCTGCATTAGACAGGACGCCTAGAGCGCCGAATCCAGCCCCGACGGTGTGGAGGTCCAGCGTCAGTCCACGCGCAAGTGCACGTGGATGTTCGCGGCGGCCGCGGCGGTGTCGTATCTGGCTGCATTTACATGGATGCGACCGTAGCGCATCGAGTCGAGATTTCACGATTTCGATTGGTAGCAGTTGGATAGAAGAGGAAGAAGTAAGAAGACAGGCTGCGTGCGATTGGTCCCCGCTCGATTCGATGCGCTACGATCGCATTCACGTAAACGTAGCCTCTGATTCCAGTCGTGTTTGAAAAGTAGCGCAAAGTGCGTCGATGCACCAGGTACGTGCAACGTTCAACCCTTGGGAAGATCATGGCGGCACAGCGCAGCAAAGTATTTAGCGCACCACTGAGCTAGATTTTAGACGCATGTTATTCTTAAGAGTGGCGCGCGGTACGTGTCTCGCGCATTTTCACAACAATGAATTTAGTATGCAGAACAACCATCATCAATATCATCATTTACCGCCCAATAGCCGAGATCTCCACTACGATAGATGGCTTTCGCCAAGCCCAGAAAACCTGTCTGCGCCGAGGCTATTGTATTTGAGAGGAGTGGAATGTATTCTCCCTAGTGAAGTATTTGCACAGACGGTCTTTTGCTTGAGTGGTGACATCTCAGCCATTTTTCCGCTCAATCGTTTTTTATGTATTTTGAAGCACGCGCAATCCTGTGTCACTCAGCTCGAGTGCGTAGCTTTGGCTAATGCATAGACGCCATTTTACCGCCCAAGTCACGCACTGAGTGCGCCAGAGCGTCAGGCGCTGGCACATTCAGGGCAACAATGAATGTCTTCACCCTGAAACAGACAGTCGTGTAGACACCCTGTTCTTGCCGCGAATTAGCGCCGAAATGTTTCGGTGGCGCCCTCTTATGGTTTCCCTCCGTGACGTCACGACTGGGATTTGCCTCGCCGTGACATTACCAGTTGTTGTTCTGGCCACTTACCATCGGGTGCGACGACGATTTCGATGGTGTGTTTAAAAAGCACAGCAGGAGCTAGGAGCCATCGCAATTCGAAACAAACACCGTCAAAGTTGACAATCTGACAGTGCTCATACGCCCATGGTTTGGTCAATCGTGAAAAGCTGACCACAGTGACGCTTTTGGCCGCGCACATCGCTAATAGCCTTCTATCCGTTGTTTTTTTTGCAGAAATTCCTCAAACACCTACATTGCAATGCGTGGTCAGTCATTTTTTAGTAAATATTAGAATCGTCTAAAAGGCGGATTAAAAGAGCCCTAGTCAATAGCTCTTCGTGACGACACGATTTGCCGATTCGTCGCCTCAAGTTACAGGAATTGGGGGAGGGGGGTGTTAGCGTGTTAGCGCACCGCAGCTCGAAGGACGTAGAGCAAAAGCTCGCGCGCGCGTATGCATGCGCAACGGGGTCAGTATCATATAGTGATAGGACAGGCATATTAGCGATATGTAAGCGTCACCGTAATACTGGCGAACCTTGAACACACTCCACATTCTTTTCGGTTGCTATTTTGCTTAGAATCCTCGCTTGTTTCTATATACTTGCTGCGAAAAACCATTATGGGCCTTAAATACATCACATCTAAACATCGCTGACTGATGAATAAAAATGCGGTAACGAAAGCAATTATACTTTTACAATGTTAGTAAAGCTACACACTTTTCGGTATGACCGGAATAACAAAAGTAATCCATGCTATTTTCCGGCGAAGAGACAAAATGCACGCGCGTTTTCCCATAGGAATGCACAGGAGCACCGCAAAAGCAGACTGGTTGCTGTCTGCTTCAATTTGCGTCCCAGAAGTCGCATAAACTCTAGCACCACTTGAGCCTCTAGCATTTTTACATTATAATAGCTCTATGCACAGAGCTTTCGAAGGAGCGTACTTGTGCAAACTACGTCGGTTGAAGAGATCTTCCTCTAAACACCTCGGTGAGCGCCAAACGACCCGCACTAATAACGATAGACAAGGTCAACGAGACCGTTGAGCACTCTACTGACACCGGGAGCCATGAGTGTTATTGTTCCACATCAATGGAGAAAAGGCGATCTTGGGATACTTTTGGAAACAATTATGACCTTAGATTTTTTGTTTCTCAAACGTAAAAAAATATTCGCCATAAAAATTCTATTTTGCCACGGAGACACAATTTTGCAACGAACTATCCACACGTCAATCATCTCTCCAACCAAAGAGAGCCAAGAAATGGAGCGTAGTTAACTACGTTCTTGAACGGGGCCTAGGGCGGGCTACCTCCACCTGAATTGCGCCTAACGACTTAAATATTAAGCATTTGCGTTTTGCGAAAAAAAAAGAAGAAAATAATACGCGTCCCAATTACGCACTTTAAAAAATGTATCTTTGAAACTTTAGTGTCCCTTTAAGGTGCCATTCCCTGCCAAGCGATAAAGAGATACATGGAACTTGCCACGAACTGCGTTAAAAAAACAACAAAAAAACACTGCATTGAAACATTTTTTTAAAGAGCATAGATGGGACATGTATTTTTTTTTCTTTTCGTAATTTTCCAACGAGAAACAAATACTGCGCAATATCTTCACGGTTAAACGCCAGTTTACTGGAAGTCGCGGCCTGCTCTAAACGCCGCCCGCTCTAAACGCCGCCCGGAGATCAGTTGCCCCGCTCATTACTAGTGGATTGGCTTGGCTGCTTGGCCAAGCACGCTAATAAGCCTCGTGTCTCTCTTTCCCGACATCCTCCGGCGCGTCTAGTCCGGCACCTGACAACGCTTGCGAGTTGTGCAAGCAGTCGCACGGCAGCCTCCGGCATCGTCTGCTATTTCACCACCGTCTATCGTCGTCTGCCATGCCCGAAGGACGCAGACATGAACGCCGTTCACGTAGCCCGTTTTTGCCTTTGTCCGTCTGCTATTCGGCCCCCGTCTAAAAACGTTTATAACGATCGCAAGACTCGAACATGAAAGCGGCGTTCTAGCGTTCCATCATGTGCGAGCGACGGTTCAATACGAGCGCCTGTCAGCGTCTGTCGACGTGTGGTAGAAAGTAACCGAGACGACTAAACAAAGAAACAAAATAAATATGCAGTCATTTCAGCTTTTAAGTATTTGGCATTACTTTCGCATGGCATCCGTGGACACGGTGAGAGAGCGTCATGACGCACAATTAAAACGTGAAAAGAACAACAACAACAACAACAACAACTCGATTTCGGAGTTTAGATGCACTGAAAACCTTGAGAGATACTTCTCTTTCGAAGTGAAATGACGCGAACATACCTGGACTAACTTGATACGAGCCGATCGGCCGATTGCCTCCAGCTAAATGGCTCTCAAATGTTTACCTGTGTAGGTATTCTCTCCGTAGTGACACCATGGTCGCAGTCACGACGGTTGCACAATTAACCATGTTGCGGGGCCTCTTTTACTAGAACCAACATCTTTATTCCGCATCAACACGTGCAAAGAAAGAAATCAAGCCAGATAGATCACATTAGTTGATGTGGGATGCTAGGCTTGGGCCAATCCCGCTACGATAACAAGCATCCGCACCGCGCTTCTGAAGGCGCGTACATGAGACAGTTGTTCGTTGCAAACTATGCCGGTTACTGAGACCTTCCCCTAAATAAAGTCACTGGATCCTGGGAAAGTAGCGCCATTGCCTTCCCTACCTGCTAGCCGGACACAAACATATACTAACATACAGACGACCCAAACCTCGCAAGGCGATTGGCTAATCGGCCTACGTTGCCATGAAAATCGCCATCTTGGTCCATTGAAATCTTCGAAGCTTCCAGGGGGTCGTTCTAAACCAGTCGCGCCAAGATCACCATGGAGCATCATCGCACTGGAAGCGTTAATCTTCAATATAAGAGTCTTTGGCACTTCGTATGCGATCACCTTATTAATCAGGCCCGTCTCCATGGATCTCTTACAATTATATTGTTCTTCTTGCGCATTTCAAGACAGTAAACTTATTTTTCAGTGCCTCCAAGCACCGACACAGCATCTGGTGGTGGTACGAACGTGTACGCCTGTTTCGCCGGTGTGTGGTTAGCAAAATCTCGGTATACAAAAACGACTCAATAAAGCTATCCGTCACCAGCGAATCTAGATAGGCTCACCAAGAACGGAGGGGTCAAGGAGAAATTGCTCATTTCATGGACCAAGATGGCGACCACACGCGGAGCTTGGCGTTACTTTCCCAGGATCCAGTGACTTTACCCCTAAACACATCTGTGAATCCAAATCGACCCGCACTGATTAAAATTAATAAACTCAACGAGCTACGCTCGTTCAGCACTACGTAGACGCCGGCAGCCATGTTTGTTAACGCCTCAAACCAAAGCTGGAGAAGCAATCTCAGGATACGGTAGGAAACAATAATGACTCTATCTTAATTAGTTGCTTCTCAAACATAAAAAGTCGATTAAATTAGTATTACGGCACGGTGATAAAAATTTACAACTGACCCTTCACAGGTCAATCATCTCTCTAGCCTATACACCAACTCATGTTTACAAATAAACCGGAGCGCCCCTAGCGAACGCCACCGGCGCCGCGCATGCGCGATGGGGGTGTGGGCAAG